GGTCTAGTACTATCAACCATTTCTTTCCTTTTTAATACAGCATTATGAGATGAGTGATTAGTTTCTTTCGTCACTATCTTTCCTAACGACCCTTCTCTATTCTTTCTCGTATCGATGTTACGATTCTGAGCTGCCCCTAGAGCTGTAGGAAGTTTTAAAATCAGACTGGTGCCTGGAGACTGTGCAAGATTATTGTAGAGTAATCTAAAGCACTATTCACTGCTCTGGTAGAGCTTAAACTTAATACTTTCCTTACTGAGAAATAGCACAAACAAATAACACCAACATTAAAATGATAACATTACTATAGCAATTCATGTCTGTGGCATGTTAATTAGAGTTAGATACATTACTTTAGAGATTCATGTCTGTGACATGTTAATTAGAGCTATGTACATTACTACAGAGATTCATGTCAGTGACATGTTAATTAGAGCTATATACATTACTAAAAAGATTCATGTCTGTGACAAGTTATTTAGAGCTGTATACTTTACTAAAGAGATTCATGTCTGTAACATGTTAATTAGAGCTATATACATTACTTTAGAGATTCATATCTGTGACATGTTAATTAGAGCTATATACAATACTTTAGAAATGCATGTCTGTGACATGTTAATTAGAGCTATATACATTACTATAGAGATTCATGTCTGTAACAAGTTAATTAGAGCTATATACATTTCTTTAGAGATTCATGTCTGTAACAAGTTAATTAGAGCTATATACTTTGCTAAAGAGATTCATGTCTGTGACAAGGTACTTAGAGCTGTATACATTACTAAAGAGATTCATGTCTGTGACAAGTTAATTAGAGCTGTATACTTTACTAAAGAGATTCATGTCTGTGACAAGTTAATTAGAGCTATATACATTACTAAAGAGATTCATCAGTCATATGACTCATTTTGAGTAGTTTTATAGAGCAATCAGCACTCACTGGATGATGTGGTCAACATCTCATCACTTCTGTGTGATGCAGTCATTGTGTGAGTCATAGTCAATCGATTTTTATGTTGTCTAGTGTGTTCTTCTATTCTATCTACTTCTTTCTATGAGTGCCAATCAATACACTTTCTGTTACTTGATTAACTCAACTACTTGATGTGTGTGATGTAGTCATTGTGTGAGTCATAGTTAAGCAGATCATGTTTCGATTTTTATGTTGTCTAGTGTGTTCTATTATCTACTTTCTATGAGTGCCAATCAATACACTTTCTGTTACTTGATTAATACAACTACTTGATGTGTGTGATGCAGTCATTGTGTGAGTCATAGTTAAGCAGATCATGTTGCAACTACTTGATGTGTGTGATGCAGTCATTGTGTGAGTCATAGTTAAGCAGATCATGTTTCAACTAATTGTGTGTGATATAGTCATTGTCTGAGTCATAGTTAAGCAGATCATGTTGCAACTACTTGATGAATGTGATGCAGTCATTGTGTGAGTCATAGTTAAGCAGATCATGTTGCAACTACTTGATGTGTGTGATGTAGTCATTGTGTAAGTCATAGTTAAGCAGATCATGTTTCAACTACTTGATGTGTGTGGTGTAGTCATTGTGTGAGTCATAGTTAAGCAGATCTTGTTTCAACTACTTGATGTGTGTGATGTAGTCATTGTGTGAGTCATAGTTAAGCAGATCTTGTTGCAACTACTTGATGAATGTGATGCAGTCATTGTGTGAGTCATAGTTAAGCAGATCATGTTGCAACTACTTGATGTGTGTGATGTAGTCATTGTGTGAGTCATAGTTAAGCAGATCATGTTTCAACTACTTGATGTGTGTGGTGTAGTCATTGTGTGAGTCATAGTTAAGCAGATCTTGTTTTAACTACTTGATGTGTGTGATGTAGTCATTGTGTGAGTCATAGTTAAGCAGATCTTGTTTCAACTAATTGTGTGTGATGTAGTCATTGTGTGAGTCATAGTTAAGCAGATCTTGTTTCAACTACTTGATGTGTGTGATGTAGTCATTGTGTGAGTCATAGTTAAGCAGATCTTGTTGCAACTACTTGATGAATGTGATGCAGTCATTGTGTGAGTCATAGTTAAGCAGATCATGTTGCAACTACTTGATGTGTGTGATGCAGTCACTGTGTGAGTCATAGTTAAGCAGATCATGTTGCAACTACTTGATGAATGTGATGCAGTCATTGTGTGAGTCATAGTTAAGCAGATCATGTTTCAACTACTTGATGTGTGTGATGCAGTCATTGTGTGAGTCATAGTTAAGCAGATCATGTTGCAACTACTTGATGAATGTGATGCAGTCATTGTGTGAGTCATAGTTAAGCAAATCATGTTGCAACTACTTGATGAATGTGATGTAGTCATTGTGTGAGTCATAGTTAAGTAGATTATGTTTCAACTACCTGGTTTATGTGGTGTAGTCATTGTGCAAGTCATAGTTAAGGATATCATGTTTCAAATAATTGTTGTTTGTGGTGTAGTCATTGTGCAAGTCATAGTTAGGAATACCATGTCTCAAATATTTCATGTTTGTGGTGTAGTCATTGTACAATTCATAGTTAAGGATATCATGTTTCAAATACTTGTTTGTGGTGTAGTCATTGTGTGAGTCAAAGTAAGGCAGACTATGTCTCAACTACTTGATGTGTGTGGTGTAGTCATTGTACGAGTTATAGTTAAGGATATCATGTTTCAAATACTTGTTGTGTGTGATGTAGTTATTTTGCCAGGTGGATAAAAAAGCAAAAGAAGATTGTAATCATCATACATAAGGATACAGACAAGACTAACCAAAACAGCCACTTTTCTGTAGGAGTTTACAGCAGGTGAATACGAAGAAGAAGAAGAAGAAAAAAACAGCAATGGTCTGCACTGTCATTAAAAAAAAAAAAAAAAACGTTTTCGCCAAAATGCGAAGGGAAATGAGTTCACAAGAGGAAAATCATCACCTAGAGACAATGCTTACCAGTTATAACACGGAAAGTGTATAAGAACCTAAAAAAAAAACAAGGGTGGCTAAGAACTCTTTCAGTACCATACAGATGTTGTTTAACTTATTCTTTATCACAAATTTGTTAAAAAGAAACCCTTGGGTTTTCATGAGTGAATACAAAAATCACTGATGAGAGAGGAGGAGTTAAATTAACAGATGGTGAAAAAGGGGTTAACATGACAACTGGATGTGGCTTATGAAGTTAAAGAATGTTTAATGAATGTATCAACAATAAGTTGATCTCATACCCTACAAGACATACACCAAAAGAAAAGAAGGACGTACAGCACAAGATAGACCAAGAACAAGATGGAAAGATAACATCAGAGAAACTCTACAACAGTTTGATGTGTCTGTGGTCGAGGCGGGCAGAAAAGAAAGACGCAGAACCTTATATCTCACTCGACTCTTGAAGTGATAAAAGAGGAAATGAAGAAGGAGAACGCGTGAGGAGTTGTCTGCTACTGAAGAAGTTAAAATGTGTTTTGGGGAGAAAGAAAAAGAAGTCAGTTTTGGGGGGATTTGTGTGTGACTCATGGCAGTTGGTTGGAGAGTCAGATAGACTATTAAAAAAACAAATACGAATGTCAAGTATTATGCTAACTAACATGAATAGGTATGTATGCAATGTTCACTGTGTTTTTTATTATTGAGGGCTGGTCTTTCTAGTGATATTGACATCGTCAGGGTTTCCATGCCTCCTCACAAGGCAATGGAAAAGTCATGTGGAAAGATCTTACTTACTTACTAAGTCGCCCCTCTTCTACCTTGGGGTGTAGAGGTTTGCCAGAGAGATCGCCAGACGTCTCTATCAGCAGTTTTCTTTCTGGCTTTGTTCCATTCCAGTCCTCTGTCAGTTAGGGATTGTCGGATGTTGTCTTCCCAGCGCACCCTGGGTCGTCCCGGAGGTCTGGTTCCCTGGTTCTTAGCCTCCCATGCTTGCCATGGTGGCCGATTTTCTCCCATTCTGCATACATGTCCAAACCATCGTAACTGTCGACTGATCTACTCGGGTTAGTAAGGGCTGGTATCAAGATCTTGACGTATTGTCTGATTGCGGACTTTATCCCTTTTTGTCACTTGGACCACCTTTCTCAGATATCTCATTTCCGAGGCCTGCAGCTGGCTTCTGTGAGCTGTTGTCATTGCCCATGACTCACACCCATAGGTCAGGACTGGTACATAGGTAGAGCGGTAAACAGCCATTTTCGTCCTCTTGCCAATTTCTCTTTTGCTAAGAAACCCTCGGTTTATGGCCTGGAAGAGTCTCCCAGCAGCTGCTTTTCGTGGTAGCCAGCTCAGTCTTAAAATGTGGAAAGATACCAAAAATAAAATGTTCAATCTCGCTCATGTATGCAATGTAAATATCTCGTGTTTTATTACTCATTTCAGATTTGGGCTACTTAAGACACAAATTTCTACATTACCTGCAAATCAGATCTGAATTTGTCCACAGAGATAGTAAACCATTTTGCTACAGATGTCGAAACTGGAAGTCTCAGTTCAGCCATTTGAAGCTGCAGGCGTATCCTTATTTCAGTAACAGGGATGTCACTGAGTAGATGCTCCAGAACACCAGAATTTTTATCTGCATCCAGTAACTTCTTTTTCAGAAAAAACACATTTTGTTGCAAAGCATTGAGTAAGGTCACAAGTCCCCAAATATCATATGATGCTTTTGAATATTCTGGACATATCGTGTTTAGTTGATTCCCAACCTCATTCATAATTGCAGTTTTTTGTTCTTCATATTCAGGAAGTTTGCTTTTAACAAGAATCCCTGTTCGACTCTTTTCAGCTTTTTTATATTCATCCAGCGTGTAAGGACAGGTTATGCTTGAAACCTTTAAAAGCAGCTCCTTCGTTGAGTCTCCATTTTATCTTGTTTTTTAGTTCTGTTATTGAAAAGAACACATCTTTTTCCACAGTCTTCAAACAGAGTCTTGACATCGCCAGTTTGTGCCTCACACCACCCTTCAAAAGTCTGCTGTTCTTCTTCTACATTTGAATCAAAAATATCACCACATGTCATCACAATAACACCAAAATCTTTGACCACATTAGAACCGAAAATGGATTTGACCAAAGCACAGCATCCTTCTCCTGTTGGGTGAAACGTACTCCATACTTCAGGACAAAAATAACAGCGTTAAACCCACTCGTATTTTGTTTAATGGTTCCTTCAATTTCTGCCAGTGCTTTCTCAATGTCCTCTGTATGATCCAAGCCTGGATATTCAAGTCCCGCTATCTCGGTTACAGAGATTCGTTTTTCTAGGTTCGAACCCTCTTTGATGTCAACCCCAGCGGATGAAAAGTTTGAGGTTGGGGTAAAGTGTTTAGTGCCCAGAATTGAGTTGCCTGTAGAACTTTTGCCATTTCCATCTCTTCCAACCAGAAGTAGAGAGAGAACCATTGTGACTTTGGAGACCAAAGGCCTAAATGAAAGAAAGATATACTGGTAAAATGAACACAATATCAGTCGTTCTGACATAAAAAAATCAATGAGGTTTTGATAAAGTGAATTCAATATCAAATTTACATTTTAACACTGAAAATTTGGCAAGGTGTTCACTGCTTGGCTCAGTGGTTGTGTCCTCTCTTGGAGTGTTCATGCAATGTTCACTGCTTGGCTCAGTGGTTGTGTTCTCTCTTGGAATGTTCATGCAATGTTCATTAATGTTACCCAAATGGTTTCTGCACTTGGGAAACTGAATAAGGCCTCGTGAGATGAACCCACGACCTTCACAGCGCCGGATAAGCAGCTCGACCACTTCCAAGATCCTCGTGCCTGACTTACTTCAATCAAATCTAAACAACGAGCCCCAAAACACAAGCTGACATTCTCCTTGGCAAGTTCTTCACTCTGTGTGTTGGAATCATCTCCAGACACAAGCCCACCAAAATAAAAATAAAAATACATACATGTATTATTCACAGATGCGCGCGCGCGCACACCTAGGGGGCCAGAAACCTTAGGCTGCGGCACATTAAGCCTCTCCTCTAAACAATTTGTTAAAAATATAGATTGTATTATTATTATTGCGCACTTAAACAATGCTTAGACTTTAAGACCATCTGGGCTTCCCTCTCCTAAAGAGAATTTATAAAGAAACAAGTCTATCTTTTTAACCTTGTGTCGGGGTCTCTGCACATTTACATTATACATCGATAGCAGGCTATTTGCTGAATAATAAACACTGCCGACACAAATCTAAAACAATACTTGTAACTTACAGTTACAGCCCAGCGTCAAACTGTGTGGCTCGTCCAATGTTTATAACATTTCTTTCCTCAAAGTTACAGATGTTTAGACACGAAACAGTTCCAGCTGTTGTAGACCCGCCTCGATTTTCCTAAAAAATTATTTATAGACATCTGCAATATTTCCAAGAACTTGTAAGGGGCAGCAGGGGGTTGTGGGAAACTGAAACAACCATTTATACATGGGAAATCCTACATAGAAAACAGTCTCTGGGCCGTGCATATTATTTTGAAGTCAACAACAGGTGTTTAAAACCAAACACTGAAGTATAATAATATTCAGACGCATGCACAGACACACGATAATAGCCTTGGCAGAGACCAAGTGGTTTAAATAATAAAGTTGTTTTAAAAGAAAGTCATTACGCGCCATAAATTCTTTCAGTACCAGGGAACTCACTATACGTTATTAGCTACTCTACTTAATATATAATTTTTTTTTTAAATTTTGTATGTCCTTTTCTTATATTATGTTACCCCTTACATTTTCATTGCAGCTATAACGACTTTTGTCCTAAAGTTGTATTTTCAGGTCCATGACATTAAGCATCTTTGCTCTGATATACAAAAGGTGAGCATAGACATTGCTAAATCTAAAAAGCCATGGCACCGAAAGAGTTAATTCTTTCTGCCCAGAAGGTTTTGCAACAGCGGCCTAAGAAGTAATAGCGGCAATCTACAAGGCACAGCGTGTCTGCGTATGCCGTTTGTCACCTAAATATGAACCTACAACGGCACAACTCAAGTTCTCTTTGCCCCCCCCCCCCCTTACCCCCCCCCGAAACCAAATGTACCAATCAGCACATAAAATGCGAGCCGCAGTTGCCTATCTGTGTCGAGCAAGTGGTGTGTTATTATATCGTTTATATTTGGCCTGAACATACTAACACAATCCAGCAAGGTATTTATTATTGCAGCAAACTAAATATTTCCTCTTTAAAAATGAAAACTTTGCCTTTTCGGTGTGTGAAAGTAATTAATTCCTTTTTATCCTTTACTTTAAACAGGCAGATAGATTGGCTGGCTCTACACAATTTGGTTGAATACTGACGCATGATAAGGCAGAGGTGATCAGTGCCTTGTTGGGGAGCGTGTACAGTTCAAGGGAGCAGATGGATCACCACAGTCTGGTGAAATTGATGCAGGGGGAAGGGACGAGGGTTTCTGGCAGATTCTCGAGACTCAGAGATAAGGCAAGACGGACTTTTAATAAGAATGCTACTGGCGCCATAAGTATTGGAACTTTGCACTGGCTGCTGAAGATGGGGACGGAGCGCTTAAGAGAATTTTCCAAGTGATGTGATGTCGGTTCTTAAATCTTGACCCAATACGTTCTATGAGGCCCCCACCTCTTTCCCTTTCCAAAGTGGCTCCTCTTAACTATGTATTTGTCATATATTTCATATGTATTATATTTATTTACTATTCAGTACAATTTTTATTTTTAATTTATTTTTTATTATCATTATGGCCCCTCGAGCGCCCCCCCCCCCACCCCTTCCTTTTTTAAAAATACAATATGTTTGATGGGCCGGGCGGGTGAACCAATGTTTTCTCTGATTCGGTGCGCCGCTCGTGCAGTTTGACTGACTATTGTTGTGAGCCACAGAGACGACCTCCAGATAAAGCCTCTTCTAAAAAAGGCGGAGATTTGTGCCTTCATTTGCAGCCTTGACATCTGAACCAGACAGAATAATTAAGTGCACGACCGTCTCAAGCTGTTGTAAATAGCTACAAGTCACGTGATACTGAAGGCAATTTCCCAGAAAGCCTGAGGAATAAATTCACAGCCATCAGGACTGCCAATACTGGGTTTTCCCCCCAGATTTAGGTTTTTATATGACGCCTTGGGGAAATCTTGTTTATATATATATATATATATATATATATATATATATATATATATATATATATATATATATATAATATATATAAAAGTGGAAAATATTTCCTTTTGTAACTATACATTTTGTACATTTATATAATCTGGGTATTTGTTTGTTCTTTACTTATGTATTGCTTGGGTTTTTGTTTAGCTTAGCTGGGTTTTTCAAAACAATCCCGTTGGCGGCCCTGAACAGCCATAAGAAGCAGTGTAGCCACTTTGGATGTTTTACATCCAGATTTAGATGTTTCCCACTTGCAAACAAATATCGACAGACAGACAGACAGATGCTGATGGACTAATGTGTCATCCCCACAACCCAACCCCGGTTACGCCCTATAGGCCAACCCCTCCCTCCCTCCTTAGACACTCAGTGTGCGCTGTTGGCGTCAAACCCGTCCCTTTTTTTGCCCCTACCTGTGCGTTGGAGGTATATAAGCTGACCGTCATTCCATTGAATAAAGTTTTTTCGCCAGGGACACTAGATGAGTATCATTTATTCTATACATTAGAGTCCTATGTAGTCACTTCATAGTTAGAGCCTATTTGTGTGTGTGTGTATTGTGTTGTCCTTTATGTGCTGATGAAGGCTAATCGCCGCAACGTCCTTTGTTTGTTCATTGTGATCGATTTTGTAAAGCTAACATAAACTAATTGTTGTTTCTTACCAACTTTTTCTCTTCCCTATAATTTTCTACTCCTTATAAAAATGTATTTAGATGGTGTTTTGATGGTAGATGTTTTTCTAGATATTTTCATTTCGAGTCATACATTTTATAGATTTTTTTTTCAGTGTCAGTTAAAAAATAACTGCAAAATATTTACTACAATGATTTTGTTTTGGTCTGGCACGTACATTGTGACAATTGCGATTACTCAAACTTTGAACCCCCAGTGGGGTCAACGCTAAAATATCTGGCAGCCCCGGTTCTGATTAATTGAAAGTTCGCGTAAATCATACTAACTTTGTTTCAGCCGTAGAGGCTTCCCGAACATCTAGATGTATTGAAAAACATTTCACTCTTTTCTGTGAGCAACATACTTCGGCCAGTAAAGGACATACCTAAATACTGTGAAGTAATGAAATTTTTAGGAGCTACTGATTCTGTGGAAGCAGAATATCAGTAAACCAAAATAAACTTAGTTGAATGGACAAACAAAACAGAAACTGAAGCGTTTTGGAGTGTAGTGAGACAATTTAAAGTTGCCTCAACAAACAGTCCATTCTGTAAGCTCTTTAAAGTGCCATGTCTGCCATGATACTACCCCACTAAAATGCTGACGTAAAAAGAGTTTTCAGTGCTATGAACTATATCAAATCTAACCTCAGAAATAGGATGAAATTTGACCTCTTAAATGCTATTTTGACAATAAAATTCGGTCTGATGAGAGTAGGAAACTGCTGTTCCACTTATCAGCTCACTGATTGGGTATTAAAAGAAACTGGAACAGCTAAAGCATACCAAAGTCATTTTGCAGCTTCAAGTTCATTATCCGAGCTAATTTTATCCTGTTGATCTTGTGAAGCAGACATTAGTGAAGATGAGGACATGATTCCTTAGGGTAAGTGATTTCAATAGCTATGCAATTTGTGACTCTTTCTATTTGGATGTTTTTTCTAGATGTTTCCCAGCGAAATTTAGATGTTTTTATATATTTTGTGACTCCGTTCTGGGTGTTTTTTGTCAAAGAAAAGTGGCAACACTTATAGGAAGGCATCTGTGGATTAGACGTAAAAGGGAACTGCAGTAACATCGTGGCTAGTGTTTGCTGTCGAGACAGCCACGCGGGTTCGATCACCAGCAGGGGCAGATTTTTCCTTTTCAAAATCAAAATTGGGTCTTGTATTTATTTGTGGCCCTAAGGGCGGGCAACAAAATACAATCTTCTGAGCCAAGGCCAACTTGTTTTACGGTACTTATCCACAAGCGCGTACTTCTCCTCCAGTGACGCTCGTTTCGACTCTTTGAGTCCCAAGGATCGCATCATACGTTCATAGGTTCCTACCTAGAAGCCCAATGAACGCATGATGCGCCAATTTTATTACTTTCTTTACTACCCCCTGGGCCTGTGATGCTAAACCCCCTAGAACTTAAAGAGTTTAAAATATTTAAAACGTATAATGCATTTTTGTTTATTTTAAAAGCATTGCTATAAATAATATTATTTACTTACATATTTTATTACTCTATAATTCAATGCGCCCGCCACGTGTTTTACATCCGCACGCATGGCTGACAATCTCAACCTGGGCTTCTATTTACTGT